GACTGCTGAGGAGCTCTAAGATCAAGAATCTTAAAAGCAGTAAGAGAAACCTATGTCCTCATACAGTACCCGACACTCACTGGAAGTGGCTGTGCTATGGCTTCTGGTGGGATCCCAACCTCTGTGTGCTTCCACTTCCTTTCCTGCATGGGGGCTGGGTGAAGGCAACATATGAGGCTTGCCGAGCTCATATATGTAGGTTTCTCTTACTTAGGAATATCATTGCTGTGACAAAACACCACAACCAAAGCAACGTGGGGAGGAAAGGTTTGATTCAGTTTATATTTTCAGACCACAGCTCATTGTCAAGGGAAGTCACGACAGGAATTCAAACAGGACCAGAATCTGAAGCAAGGAACTGATGCAGAGGCCTTGGAGAGGTGCTACTTGCTGGCTGGCCTCCCCTGGCTTACTAAGCCTGCTTTCTTATAGAACCCAGGACTCAGCCTAAGGAATGGCATCATTACAATGAACTAGGCCCTCTACAGTCAATCACTAACAAAGAAAATGCCCTATAGGTTTGCCACATCTCAATCCTATGGAGGCATTTTCTTAACTGAGATTCCCTCCTCTTGGGTGACTTTAGCTTGAATCAAGTTGACATAAAACTATTGAGCACAAAGCCTTTAAAGATAATGGCTCAGCTGGTCTTATATCAGTAAGGATCGCCTTGGAAAGACATCTAAGGAATCATGTGTACTGTTGAGATGCTTGAGCAGGATTTCAGAGTTAGTACATATAGGGAAGGCCTCCACAGGGATTGGACACACAAGCACTGTCAACAGTTAGTAGGATCACTGGGATCTGTCAGCTGCTTCTCTTCCAAGTGGATCATGGAAGGCAGAGAAGGTAATCCCCTGTGTGCATGCAGGGGCAGGCAGTCTAGAGAATCTCTAAATAGGGCTTAGAAAAAGGGTTTCTTCAGCATTCCCAACTCTGATCTGCTCTTGTGACATGTTCTAGTCAGTTCTGGTGAAAGTTGTTACCCCCGATCCTCCCTCATTTGGTGATTAGGGCCACATAGGACAGGGTTCCTAGAACCCAGGATAACTAGCTGTTATTCTAGAACTACATCCCTGACCATGACTAGAGAGGAGGAGCAAACAACTTAAACAGGTAGTTTAAGTCTTTGGGAGAAAAAAGGGTCCTGAATGGGAGTATCTAGAGCCCTCACTACTCCTGCCCTCACATAGGTCTGGAGGTGGCATTGCAAGGACCAAAGAAGGATAACAGTGCAGTCCCTGGAGACTCCTGTGGTCAGATAAGAAAGTGAGAAAGGTTAAGAAACACACTTCTTGGCCCACATGGTGAAGGTCGTGGTTGCTTCCTCTGTGACTTTTCTGAGCCCTCTCCTCCTCTGAGCTTCTTCTACTGACTCAAATTGACTCTGATGGTCACAAAATCCTTTGTGACACTGGACAGATAAATCCAGAATAACTGAGATGAGGGAGGTCTGTGGAAGGAAAAGGCCAATGCATCAGATTGCATGACAGTGACTTATACTCACATAGCACTATGGGAACTATGTGGGTGGTATCATAATTGTTCTGGAGATTAATCTCTATCCCTTACCCTGCCCAGACCTTCCACGTTAGGTGAGTGAGTCCAAGGACTCCACCTTCCATCTTCTAATCATTTGGTCTTTGTGGTACCTAGCCTTCCCTGAAGCTATCTATGGACAATATAAATTAAGATGTGATCAAAGTGGGACTCTTACAAGTAAAACATTCCTATCTCTCAGGGTACTAAGGGATTAAGGGTATTCTGTAACAGAGACCATGAAGAGACCACTGTAATATCACTGAGAAAATTTCATCACTTCTACCCTAAAGGACATCTGAAGCATGACTGATGAGAACACTGTAATGTTTAATCAAGTTAGGCATCATTCTGAAACAGGCTCTGCTATATAGTCAGGAATGTCATCAAATTGGGAGTCCTCCTATCTCAGCCTCCGAGGACTGGGATTTCAGGCTTGTACTCTCCTAGCACAGCTGTAGCCATTTTGTTCCATGCCTGCCACTCGACCCATCTGATGTAGAGCTGGAATGTAACTTGCTTATAAGCTTTAGTATTCAATTCCTACTCGCAGTGTTGTAATTTTCTGTGAACACACTAAAAGCAAAAAATAAATGTGAATAAAAAGTGTGAAAGATCAGGTCAAGGAGAACACAGAACCAAAATGAAGAACAGCAAAATACAATCTCTTACAGACATAGCCATAAGCCAGTCTCATCTGGGCAACATTTCAGTTGAGGCTGGCAATAAATAAAAGCTACCCAAAACCTTTTAGATGTTCATTAGCTGTATCTTTCTCTCATCCAGCCAAGTCTACCCTTAAGAATTCAGTGAGGACTGATATATCTATACACATATATATGCACATATATATGTACATCTCAGTGCTTTAAAATTCCATAGGAAAATATTGAGGGTTCTAGACATGTAAATTCAGAAGGAACCTAAGCTATAAAGACCAATCTTGAAATACCAACCAATACAAACAAAGACAAACAAACTTGTCTGTTAGGATTGATTACATAGACTGCTATACCTAGTCTAAGTTTAGATTTTCTACTGAATCAAGCAAGATGGTATATGGACATCAGAAGAAGGCGGCAAAGACCTGCTCCAGATCTCTAAGATTCATGTGTCCATCAGAAGCTTCTTTTATACCTATTGTGACGTTTGACACAACTACAAAAAAAGCAATTGCAAATATTGCATTCATAATTTTGACTGACTGCTAGCCAAGTACACACAACTGATTCACCACTACTGCAACAATGAGAGGTAGGCTACTAAAGGAGGAATACTTTGGGGAAAGTACATCAACTGTGACTCTGCTCCACAAAATACAGAAACTGTAGGTAGTCTGCCATTCATCTCTTTCTGCTGAGCATCAGAAACCCATCTGTGACTTGTGTACCTCAGGTTATGGGAACATTTTTTTTCTATACATATTTTAGGCCTCACAGTCATGTTATTCAACTCTGTCACTAAGGCAAAAACAGAAATATACTACACAGAAGCAAGTATGTTGCATTCCAATCACTAAACACCCAAAATGAGTTAAATTTATCTCAACAGACAGAAAGTTCTACAGCCAGGCAAAGATGGTTCAACAAGTTCCTTATGAACACAATAGAAGCTCAAAGTTAAATTTGTAGCCAATGAAAAGACGATGGTATACAGAATAATCTGCTTGGCTGAAGTTGGCCTTTACCTTACATAGTTTTGGGTGTTTGGGGCTGACTGGCTGGAGGTTCAGCCATTTTGTTACAATTTGTATATATTACCCAGGTAGGGTACAGTTCACTATGAACAGAAGCCACTTTGAGCCAGTATCATTCAAGTGTAGACAAAGATTTTACTCAAAGTTAACACAAGCCATGCATGCGATAATGCATGGTGAAGCATGCCTTTAGAACCAGCACTTGGGAGATAGAGGGAAGTGAATCACTCTGAATTTGAGGCCAGCATGGTCTACATAGCTAGCTCCAGGCCAATCAGTTACACAATGAAACACTGTCAAAAAACAAACAAACCTAACTAAAACTATAAACAAACTTATATTTAATCGATTTTCACGTGTCATGAAATACTTCCTCTTTTCTCTGAACAACTTACAATGTAAGAACCAATCCTAATTCGAAAGCTCAAAATCAGGTCTGTGGCATTGACTGACCCAATAAATTCCTAGTTAGTGAAGGTGACTCCAAATTTCATTAATAAAAAAATGATTAGAGGTTAATTTCAACTAGCAGAAGGCAAACCTTGTTATTGAATTTCTGAGGTTCTTAACAGACTGTCTAGGTTCCTTACTAGAAATTAATTGCAAAAAACCATGCAACGAATAGGCACACAAGACTTGGGTTGCAAAATTCCAGGAAAATGAATAAAGATGGCAGAAAAGGAGCTGGAGAAATGGCTCCGTGGTTAAGAACTCATACTGCTCTTGTAGAGGACCCAAGTCCCCAGCACCCACAGTGGGCATCTCACAACCGCCCGTAACTCCAGCTCCAGGGGATCTGAAGACCTCGGCGTCCTCTGCAAGCACTTATGTGCACAGGAACACAAATACACATTAAAAAACAACAACAACAAAACCATTCAGCAGACACTGCAGAGCCTCCCACTTCTCTTCAATTCTTCTAGCATCTTTAAAAGGATGCTCGGGTGAAGGCTCCAGTTCCTACAAAGCTATGGACAAGAAGTGAAGCACAGAAGTCACCGCGCAACAGGGTTCCGTTGGAGAGCACACCCTCTTGCTCCATCTCCTGGCGGTGACTGTGTGGTCACCACCATAGAAAGACAGGCCAGCCAAGGATCTGGAGAATTCCTCCAGTACGGCTCGGACGTCCTTTTCAGCCCCAAGCAAGCCCACCCAGCCATTAACGGAGAGGGCCGCGCTTGTAACCATCCACCCACGCTAAGCAAGAAGCCTCGATAGCACTCATCCACGTCTTGTGCTCACGCATCGTCTATAAAACTTAGTGTCCTAATCTCGCGGGATCTTGCCACAGAGACCCGGGAGCTTTGGAAGAGTCAGGTGACCCCGAGACTCCGCCCAGGTGTTGCTGGCCGCCTTGCGCATGCGCGGAGCGCCGGAGGTGGCTCGCGCGCTGCTTGGGTTGCCGAGGCTATGGGGCTGAGTCGGGTCCGTGCGGTCTTCTTTGACCTGGACAACACGCTCATCGACACGGCCGGGGCGAGCAGGAGAGGCATGTTGGAGGTAACGTCCCCGCGCCGTCGCCCTCCCCTGCCGGGCCAACACTCCGCACCCTCAGTCCCCCGCCGGGTGCCCGTGGAGCTTCATTCCCGCGCGTGGGGCCGGGTGCTGGACTCTGAACTGCCACGACTGCAGAGTCGCCGCCACCTGTGGTCACCCGGGCTCGGACGGCGCGGGACGAGACCCCCCGCCCTCCTCTCACTGCAGCCCCGCGCGAGATGGGCTTCGGTGGGTTTGGGGGAAGAGGCTCAGACAAGGCTTTGGCCCAGGAAGTTACATAACTCTGAGAGGCGGGCCCGGACTTAATCTACATCATAGCAATTTTTTCCCCCTGCAGGCCTCACTGTGATCTTCCAGGCTTTCTGGTGCTGAGACCCTCGGCACATAAAATGCTGAGGGAGCAGTCTTTTAGTGAGGCATTGTTGACCTGCATCCTCCTAACTGTAGCTACAGATGCTGTCGGACATCTTCCTTCTCCAGGCCAGACCTTAACCCACCCCTACTTTCCTTCCTCTGCCTTCAGCTTCAAGGAGAAACCGAAGGAGTATCAGACATGGAAAGCCCACTTACAAAAAAGCCAGCCCTTTCAATACTAAGGGTCCTATGCTTCTTCAGGTAGTTTTTGTTTATCCGGGTCTTGCCTCATTGCATACAGTTTGTTCGTGTCGGCCTTCTACTTTAAAATTCTCAAACACTACACCTCTCTTGGACTATGCTTTTCTGCACAGCTATGTTTTAAGAAAAATCTACACCCGTTGTCTCCATCAGGTCTCTCTTCTCTGTATTTCCAAATCCACTGGGAGGTAACTTCTGTCTCTGCCACTAGAATACAATAGGCTTGCCAAGTGGTTAGGTGGCTCCCAAAGTGCCAACGTCACTAGGTATTTTGAATTGGTGTTTGTGTGTGTTTTCCTGGTTCTGAGGTTTGAACCTACCTTCTTGCCATCCTAAACGGGTTCTACACTGAGCTACTTCTCCCCACACTTGGAATCAGTCTTAAGTGAAGCTTTCCACACTGCTGATTGTCCCTTGCACTCTGACACCCTCACAAGTACATACTTCCGGGTGTTCTGCCTCCGTTATCTCTAACTGCAGACAGTGCACACTTAACCGGTGCTCTTACCCAGCTGAGCCCGGTGTTTTGATACTCAGTTTTTGTTTGAGGCTGGTTCTTGTTAAATAGGCCTATTAAACCTCACATTTAGTTTGAATCACAGTTCTCCCAGTACTCAGTGCCTCAGCGGATCGCCTGTCTATGCCTAGCCTCAAATCCTCATAAATTTGAGCATTAGTCTGCATGACACTGTCAGGTTGCTTTAATGTCGTACATGGCAAGATTGGAACACCCAGTGCTCATCCATCCACTCTTGTCTCCCAGTCTCCCTTACTCCCCACTTAATTGCAGAAAGACTCATCCGATGTAGACTTTTTGCTGTGGTCTTGTCTCCAGGCTGACCACATCCAGTTCGTTCTTCACATCCCTGCCATAGTGAGTTTTGGGTTTGGTTTTGTTTTTAAACAACAACAACAAAATTGACTTGGAAGACAAGGCAAGAATATCCCTTGAGCTCCAGAATTTGAGGTCAGTCTAAGCAAAGCAACATTACTACCCCACAATATTTCTCCATGGCGTTGACCCTATATTTTGTACCTTATTTTTTTTTCTTCTGGTATCTCTCACTGCACCTGTCAGAGGATGTTGTCATTAATTTTTGCAACTCATGCCTGCAGCAGAACCCTGAGTTTCCTGAAAGGGAATATGCTATCTTAATTATCTTTGTTTGACATGTAATAAATGCTGAATTAATAGTGGATGGTGGATAAGAATCCATATCTCCAGTCTTGGTTCTTTTACTACCTCCTTTACTTATAAATGGTCTTTGAAATTAGCAAAATTAAATGCTATGAATACTTTATCTTGTAAGGATACAACATTCCTTATAAATTTTGATCTATCCCAAAGTAACATGCCAGCTGTCATGAGCCATTCTGAATGACTTCTGAGGGGCTAGGAAGATGTCTAGTCTTTTCCTAGGGGAGAGGGTATATCAGTTTTACTTTCTAAAGAACCATTTGGGCAAGTTTTCTTTTTTCTTTTTTTTTGGGGAGGGGGTATATGTCTTATTACTGCTCTCTTGCTGTGACAGAGCAGCCTACAGGAGAAAACATTTAATTTGGGGCTTGTTTACAGCTTTGGAAGGTAGGTCTGTGATCATCATGATGAGACGTTTAGTGGCAGGCATGCTTGGTGCTGGAGCAGGAGCTGCGAGCTGCGAGCTCACATCAGACTTGCAAGGTAGAGCCAGAGATAGCAAGACTAGGCCTAGTTTTTGAAAAAGCCCACTCCTAGATGACATTTACCTCTTCCAACACCGTTACACCTTGTTGTCCACTAACTGAAAATCAAACATTTAAATATATTTAAATTGGGGCCATTCTTAGTCAGACAACTACTGTATACTTTCATAGCCAAGAAGAAAAGGCATGAATGTATAGTTAGTTCTTCATAGAACAGTTTTTTTAAAAAAATCATTTGTAAATTAAATGTCTAATGGAAATAGCTGTGAACATAATAAATGCATTTACAGGTGTGTTAGAAAAAGTAGAGGGGGCAATGTATTTCATTTTTCAGGTAGATTCATGACATTTGGCATTAGTGAGTGGTGTTTGGTTTAACTAGGAATAACCAAGAATGCTAAGGATGCAGTTCATTTGGTAGATGCTTGCCTAATTTTCACAGGTCTCTGGTCTGAGCTCCCAGAATCATAAAAATTAGCCATGGTGGTAGATACCTGTAATCCCAACATTTATCAGGTAGAAGCAAAAGAATCAGAAATTCAAAGTCGTCACTCAGCTACAAAGAGAGCTTGAGAGCAGACTTTATAAAATCCTGTCTCTAAAACATTTTTTAAAGGGAAAACAGGTGGAGTTAGCCATAGAGATGGCTCAGGGCTTAACACTTGCTGCTCTTCTAGAAGGCCTGAGTTCACATCCCAGCACCTATGTTGGATGACTCACAGCCACCTGGAACTCCAGCTTCAGGGAATCTAGCCTCCATGGGCAGCCCCACACATGTGGTTGACGTGTATGCATAGACATAAAAATAAATCTTAAAGTAGCAAAATCATTTAAATTTCTGGGCTGTTTAACAATCGTGTGTGTGTGTGTGTGTGTGTGTGTGTGTGTGAATTTAGCCCCTTCACATCCAAGTCACAGGTATTCAGAAAATAACTTCTCATAAAGTATTATTGTTATGTAGTTCCCAAACTAACCCTCAAAAGGTCTTGCAAAATTACAGTTACTTTAACTCTTACTTGTGACAGTGACTCTAGTTCCAGGTCCAGGGAGTAAAAGATAGAAAAGATGCTTCTTTTGTTCAGAGTGGTAGAGTTTTGAAGTGGATGCGTTCTAATCTAGACTGGTGCTTGCTCTCTCACTTCAGGCCCCTGCCTGCAGTTACCTAGGGCATTTGTTACATCAGTCTTTTCCAGATCTGTCTTACTCCACGTACAAAATGTCCTCCACACCTTCAAATTAGAGGCCTTTGTCCTCTACCTCCAATTGAGGCCAAACTTATTCTCAGTGAAGGTTAGGAAAGTAATAAGATGTGCTGATGCAACTCAAGTGTATTCCTGTTTGAACTAATAACATGAGTAACTGATAAACATTTTTTTCTAAAGATGTTAATATTTTTATGTACATGACTATAGGCTCATAAGTGTGCATGCACATGTGTATACACACGTGGAAGCTGGAAGAGAACCTCAACTGTATCATCCTCAAGAACACCACCCCCTCCTTGTAACAGGATCTCTTCCTGGAGCAGAGCTTACCAGTTAGGTTAGACTGGCTAGCTAGTGAGCCTTGGGTATCCTCTGTTTAGACTTCATCAGGACTGGGGTCACAAGCATCTGTGATTGCTCAGCACTCTCCCATGAGTTCTAGAGATTGAACCCTGATCCTGGCAAAAGGTAAGTTCTTTAATCACTGAGCCAACCCACCCCACCCTCTGGCTCAAGCTATGTGATGGCATGAGTAAAAATAGCACCCATATTTCAAAGCTTACTCATTAGGGAGTGACACAATTCAAAAAGGATTAGGAAGTGTTACTTTGTAGGAGGAAGTGTGTCATGAGGTAGGCTTCGAGGGTCCAAAAGGCCATGTCAGGCCAGCATCTCTGCCTGCAGATCAGGATCTGGCTCTCAGGTCTGGTGGTAGCATTATGCCTGTCTGATTCCCACCATGATGATAATGGATTTAGCCTCTGAAAGTAAGCAAGCCTCCAATTAAATGCTTTCTTTTATAAGAGTTGCCTTGGTCATAGTTACTCTTCACAGCAATAGAATAGTGCTAATTGATTAAAATGCTATGGTCATAATAAAAAAATTTGTGACTAGTTGCCATGTAGCAGTAATGGTGTGACAAATGGGAAAATTAATTAAAGATGTGATCAGGGAAGATTTTGCAACTTAGGGGAAGGGTATGCTGTGCCTTCAAAGGTGTTTATCCCCACATTTACAGTCTCAGGAGTGAGGCTGTGGTGTTGCCAACTGCAATAACAGGACATTGGGGCATTGTGGCTTTCTGTTCTCTGTCAACTAGGCCTGTGACACTTCACCATGTAACTACTGAAACTTTTAGAGTGTCCTTTGCTTATAGCTGAAGATGAAAAAAAAAAAACAGATTAATACTGGTTTTGTTGTTTGTTTTTATTTTTTGCTTTTTTTTTAAGATGGTGACAAAACCATGAAGTTTAAATGGCTAGTTTTTTGTATTTTTGCCTTAAATTCTTTGTGTGTGTGTGTGTGTGTGTGTGTGTGTGTGTGTGTGTGTGTGTAAAATCAATGCTTTTCAGACGGTATTAAAACATTTCATTAGATTTAAGTGAAATTCTTATTTTCATGTCTTCATAACCAATATGAAACATGGTAGGCTACCAAGCAAATCAAGGCTTGTTTTTAGCTTTGTGTGTAGAATCATTTTAGACTAGATGCTGGGGACAGAGACATAGGCAGCAAGGTGTGTGGAGCAGATAGATGATATACACATTATTGGTTGTCTCTGAGGTATAGAGTCTTTAATTTGGCCAAATCAGATGGTGTGGTAATGGGAAGATATCACTCTTTCTTATGACATGACTACGAAAGACAAGGTATGCTGACCAAGTTATTTTTCTCTGCCTAGGTAATAAAGCTCTTACAATCAAAATACCACTACAAAGAAGAGGCTGAAATCATCTGTGATAAAGTTCAAGTTAAACTGAGCAAGGAATGCTTTCATCCTTATAGTACATGCATTACAGATGTGAGGACTTCACACTGGGAAGAAGCAATCCAGGAAACCAAAGGTGGTGCCGACAATAGGAAATTGGCTGAGGAATGTTATTTCCTGTGGAAATCTACACGCTTACAGCACATGACCCTAGCAGAAGATGTCAAAGCCATGCTCACTGAACTTCGAAAAGAGGTCCGCCTACTCTTGTTAACAAACGGTGACAGACAGACACAGAGGGAAAAGATCGAGGCCTGTGCCTGCCAATCTTACTTCGATGCCATTGTTGTAGGAGGAGAACAGAAGGAAGAGAAACCAGCACCTTCCATATTTTATCACTGCTGTGATCTTCTGGGAGTGCAGCCAGGGGACTGTGTGATGGTTGGTGACACTCTAGAAACCGATATACAAGGAGGCCTCAATGCAGGACTGAAAGCCACAGTCTGGATAAACAAGAGTGGAAGAGTGCCGCTGACATCATCCCCCATGCCTCACTATATGGTTTCCTCTGTGTTAGAATTACCTGCTCTCTTGCAAAGCATAGATTGCAAAGTCAGCATGTCTGTGTAAATATAGAGGGGGCACAGTGACCATATTCAGAGCCAGTTTCCAGGATTAGAACTAAGGAAAGCTAACGTGTGCCTGTATATTTGGTTCAACTCTAAGAATAATGTAAGGGAGGGATTCATAGTCAGGCTGTGGAGATCCTCCCACCCCTGCTGCTGTTGATAACCACAGGCTTCTATTCATGTCCAAAATCCAGGCTTTAATCGTGTAGTCCAAAAAACTTGAAGAAAGGCAGAATAGCTTATATGATGATGTACTGGTTTCTAAAGTAGAAATAGATTTACAAAAATAGATATTCTAAGAGATTCAGGCAGCTGAGTTGGATCAATATAAGTACTAAATCACACAAATCAAGACATTTCATAGTGAAATTTTGCATATTTTAGGCAAAATTTTGTTAGAAATATTGTGCCTACTTTCAATGTATATGTTCTTATCTATTATCTAATTTTTCTGCATGACTTTTGGAGGGCTGAATTTTCTGTGGCGTGAACACGACATTGTTATAGTTTGGGGAAAAACTATTAAAAATCAAACCGTGGTGCTTTTTTTTTCCACACCATTTTCATACTTTTAGAGTGAGTTTGTGGCTCCTAATGAGTAAAGACTGCCTTTTCTCGAGCACACAGTGGAGGGAATTGGACATTTTGCTCAAGTTGAGTGCTGGCTATGTAGCACCAAAAGTCATTTTGTTCCTTTGGATTCACAAGAATAAAATTACCGTCATGTGCTCTGAGCAGGTCATTTTCCCACTGGTCTGATCTCTGGTAACTACTTCCCCCAGGTGACCAAACTAGTAGAGAAAATTAGGTTTGAAAGCTGGGCATAGTGGTGCACACCTTCAATTTCAGCATTCAGTAGGCAAAACCAGATGGAGCTCTAAGACCAGCCAGAGCTACATAGTAGTCTCAAAACCAAAACAAACAAAAACCAAGAACTTGAATGGCTTTCACAGTTACCTCTGTCTCAGGTTTGTTTTCACACTTTGAAGAAGGACTGTATCTCTAGAGCTTACCTGGAGCTTAATTAGTATGCCAAGGTAACATTAGCAACCAGAGAATCTCCCCCAGACAAAAAGATGACTAGTCTCATGAATTCATAAACAGGCTCAGAATGGATAGCTAATAAAGGTAAAATGGTAATGAAAATAATATAACTTCTAGCCACCCCACAGGTAGTAGACACAGATATGCCAAGTCATACTAACTGAAGGTTTATCATTTCTAAGATGTTAGCAGTCAGCAAAAGTAATCTGGGAGAAATACAAGAGTTACATTATTTCTTTCTTCATAGCATATCCCAGGCAGTTCAGCATGTGACATCTCAGTCTTTCTATGCCTTCTTCAGAAAAGAGCTTTGATGTTTTATCTTCTGAGTGGAATGTTACATAGATAATAAAAAAGGATTTGACTAGGCCTATGATATTACTAATGCTTTTTAGGTTGTTAGAATTCTTTAAAATTAAACAATGATAAATAATGTTTTGTCATCTATATTATTGTATAGTTTCCCCAGGAATGAGATATTCATACAAAGCCAGAAGTTCTCAGTTGTCCAGAGGTCCCAAAGCACTGTAGCTAGAAGAATACCTAGAGTAGATATGGGCAGGGCCCTTAGCTGGGTATTGACACAGGTAGGTATGTTCCAAGTCTGGCATTCTCTACTGTGTAAGGATTGACCTACTGTGAGGATTCTCTTGAAGAAGTACTTGTAGTTGATTAATGACATTCAAACTGATTCATATAGCTTGCAGTTAACATGTTTCAAGCTGTGGTGTAATTGTGTGGTAGAGTCTATGTAGTTCCATGGTAGAGAGCCAACAGGCACAAGGCCTGGGATTTGGTTTTCAGTACTGGAAAAAATCCTAACTCCTTAAACACATTTAATTATAATGAGCATGTTAATTATGCCTGTTAAATACAGCCTTGTATGTCATTTATATAGTCATGTGGTACTCTGGTGTTTGTCATTCCATTTTTTAAATGGAAATATATTTCATTCATATATGAAAAAAGCATTAGTTATACACAAGTTGGAGGAAAGGAGAATGGCAGAAAGGCTCATGAGGTGAAGGGAGCCAGCTCAGCTGGATTCTTAGCCCCTGCCCCGATCTGGACTGGCTTGCTCCCCACCTGGTGCTAGCCCTATCCTGTGGTTCCCCTTTTGTCTCTTAACTTGGATTTCCAGTTGTCTGTGTCCTGTATAAACCCTTTTATTTCTATTATATGGGTGCTGGACATCTTTGTATAGGTTTCTTAGAAATAAGGTGAGGCAAAATTACCAAGATCATAAATGCTTGCAAGTGTCTTTGGTTGCTGACGGTTTAACAGTACACATCCAGACATTTTCATTTGGAGTGCCCAAGGTGTTGGTTTGTGCTCTAGTGGTCATTTGTGTGTGGTGAGGTTCTTTTTCTCTCCTGTAGCTCTGAGAACTCAAGCAGTCAATGGTGGTGGCATTGATGAGAATTTTTCTTTATTTTGTCCTCTGAACCCTTCCAAAAGCTTAATACTCTTTGTTATTGGGAAATGCATTATGAATGTGTATAAATGTTTTGCCTGCCTGTATGTGTGTGTACCATATATGTGCAGAGATCAGATGAGGGCCTTGAATTTTCTGGAACTGAAATCAGAGATAGTTTGAGCCCTTATCTGGGTGCTAGGAATTGAACTCAGGTCTTGCAAGAGATCTTAACCATTGAGCCATCTGTCCAACTTATTTTGAAAGCCTCCCTACTACCTTGGGTTTGTGGGGATTGTTTTGTTGTGTTTTTGTTTTTGTTTTTATGGAACTACTGCTGTTCAGATGTTAGATCCTTTCCACACTTTGTTCTGCTCCTGTTAACTTTTTGAGATGTTTCTTCAACTTTACCTTGAAATCCTTATAGCCCTTCCCTCCACTGATATTATACGTAAAGTTTTCAAGAGCTTTTTCAGAGATCCTGAATATTCCTTTTCTCCGTGGACGAAAGAAAATGTCACTGATTCCCCCCCCCCCGACCCCCCGCAGAAAGTCAGCCTATCCTTACAGGTAAGATCATCAACTCAGTAAAATTTAGTCACAGACACTAATGCAAAGTCCTCCCCTGAATGAAGGGCAGTCCTCAACCTTAGTTTCAGTCCGTGTCCAGGAAGGTATAGCAGTAGGAGACAGCTAGTCAGTCATATTGTCCACACTCAGGTAGCAGAGAACAATGTTTCACAGTTGGACCATCTAGAAGTGACCTAAAGCAAAGATGGTCTAGCCATGTCTGTTCTTTTGTTCCTACTATCCTAATGTCTACGTAGTGGAGAAAGCCTTTCAAGAAAAAAACAGTAAAAACTAGTCACTGTCAGTCAAAGAAGCAATTCAGAAGAATGAATGAGCCCAGCACAAAGGATTAACCCACTCTCTTCTGCAACAGTGGACCTTCCCACTAGTGGAGTCTGGTCAGTCCTTCAAGGCCATCACTGTTGAGACATAAAGAATGGTTGCTTGCATCTTTTTTCCCACACTCACTCCTCCTTGGTTGGTGGGAGCAGGACGGAGAGGATTAAGCCTGCCCCTGTCCTGAGTTTGGTTCCACAGCCTCCAATTACTTCCTGAGTATGTGGGTCCTCTCTATACAACCGTAGGTATCAATATTTGTCTTGCTGTTGCATAAGGGGCTATGCAGGTCCTAAATCCTATGCTGATTTTGAAGGAATCAAACATTTGATTGGGGCAGAGAAGGAAGAGAACATTTCTAGAGAGAAATTCTGCCCAGGACCAGTTCATCACATCCTCAGCAGCCAGGAGGAGGTCACCATCTCCAAAGAGGTAATGTCAGCCTGCTTGAGCAATAGGATCTTCCTGAGAAATGGTGGAATAAAATTTGCACAGCCTGGATAGACAATCAAAAGCAGGGTGTGAATAGGAGACCCAGAATACTGTTTGCTCTCCTTCTCCCCCCTCCCCTCTCTCTGTTTGAGTGTGTATGTAAGTAGTAAAGCCATGTGGACAGTGGAGAGAAAGGCTGTGAAGAGCTGTGTGTGTTTGGGTACCCAATGTGAGAAGCAGTGCTAGTGTCGTGTGGCTAAGGGTGCAGGGGTGTATTCGTTCCATGAAGTTGTATGTAGCAGTGTTATGGATCCGTGGGAGGGTTAATGTATGTAGTGGGAGTTTGTTAGAGGTATGTGCATGTACTTGATTTCATAGCCTCATCCCAGGAGTGTGTTTAATGCTGCATGGGTCTAAAAACACCAAAATTGGTCCTTCGGGATAGATCTGAGTGCTGTATTTACATTCCCGTTCCCAGTGCTTTTGGGAGACACCCTCTGACTATAACATTAGGTGCTCAAATTGAGTCTTAGGAGACTGGGAACCTGCCTGGCCCACATACTGCCAAGCTAAGTGTCCAATAGAAGTTCCTGATACACAGAGAAAGGATTCTTCTAAAGGAAGGACAACAGTGGGCATCTGGCAGATTCTCTCTCCACTCCCCCCTCTTAACTAAGAGACCCTAAATTTAGAGACCAAGAGAGAAAATTGTCCTGCACATCATCTTTTTGTGTCTAAGGCTCACAGAAGCTTTTCGTTATTCTTTTGGTAGCTGGTATTAGTAGTGGTGGTTTGGGGTTTTGTTTGTTATGGTGGGTTTTGTTGTTTGTTTGCTTTTTGAGACTGGGACTTACTGTATAGCTTCTGCTATTCTGGAATTTATAGATTTGCCTGCCTCTGTCTCCTGATTGCTGGGATTATAGTGTACAACCATGCTGGGAGGCTTTATTTTTTAAAAGCCTTTCTTAAGCTCTTGGGATCCTGAGGCAGGAGGATTACTACAATTTGAGGTCAACCTGGGCTACAGAGTGAAAAAGTAAAAATGAAAAGAAGAAAGAGGAAGAAGACTTTTTATACCACAGGGTTTCTCTGTGTAGCCCTGGCTGTCCTGGAACTCAAGGATCTGCCAGTCTCTGCACTGAGTGCCAGGATCAAAGGTGTGCACCTCCACACCCAGCCTCCTCTTCTCTTACCTCTTAGACTTCTCTACCTGGTCTATGCACTTCTTTGTTGGACAGTCAGAGTTTTAGAGGCTCTTGCTCTCTTTCCCTCCCTCTTGAGAACATCGTTCTCCGCTCCTCATCCTTTTACGTTCCTTTATTTAACTTCTCATGTTCCTTTCACTCTTTTCCCTGCCCCTTTTGTTCATTTACAGCTGCAACATTTATCTTATGAATATTATATTTTATGGTACACTCTTTTTTTGCTTGCTTTGCTCCATTTATTTGTTTTTCATGACTGGGGCATCTTTGGATATCTGTCTTATCTGTGGGTCCTCATAGGGAGTAAGTTTTACTTTTTTATTTATTTTTTATTTGTATTTTGTGTGTATGGATGTTTTGCCTGCATGTATTTCTGGGTTATGTGAATACCTGGTGCCAGCAGCGGCCAGAAGAAGACATCAGATCTCCTGGAAGTGGAGGGATCAGACAGTTGTTGAGCCTTGTGGATACGAGGACTCAAACTTAGATCCTCTGGAAGAACAGCCAAGGTTTTTAATAGCTAAGTCATCTCTCCAGCCCCAGGAGCTTATTATTCTTAATGGCTCAGTCCACAGTACCATTCAGACAGGATAGGAAACTAACGGCTATAAGAGCAAAACACAAACCAAAGAAGAACAGAAATACAGCTGGACTCAGTAAATACCACCTAACTGACCACCACAGGACATAAAAGAAGAAACAAACTTAGAGACTAATTTCTATGAAGAAAGTAGACAAAAATACTTAAAAAACTTACTTGAGAGAATTAAGATCTTACACTGTAACCATCTTCACTTCACTTCAGGGATGTAAAGTGGCTCACCATAACATATCAGTATAACTCAGCATATACTAGATTTAAGGACAGAAATCATGTTATTATATAATTGATGTAGAAAAGTACCTTGAGGGGCTAGAGAGATGACTCTGCAATCAAGGGCGTTTGCTGTGTGTCAAGGTAATTAAATATGGCCCAACACAAATTTGAAAACTTACTTAAAACATGAGGTGTGTGTGACTGTTTCTTAGTTTGTTGTTAGAGTCTTGAGCATGAACTTCATGCTAAATGTCATGTTGTAATGTCAAAAGGCTGAACATGTCTGCTAGAGGGTGAGAAGACCCCAATGCCCATGGACCGTCAAAATTAGCATTAAACATCTATTAAAAGTCCAATGACATTTTTCACAGAACTAGGAAAAAACTACCCTCAAATCACATGGAAGTACAAAAGAACCCCAATAGCTAAAGCAATATTAAACAGAATATATAAACAGAAATGCCAAGCTATCACAATACCCAATTTCAAATTGTGCTAAAGAGTCAGATTAACCAAAAATTACATGGTAGTGGCTCATAAAACATACATAGACCAATGGAACAGAATGTAGGACCAAGAAATAAATCCGCATAGGCACAGCCATCTGATTTTTGAAAAACGTGCCAAAAACATAATTTTGGAGGGAAGATAACCTCAAAGGA